TCCCCTTCCTCTCTCTACCCCCGCTCCTGTGTCCGGCAGAGTCCTCAGACGACTCCTATGTGTCTGCTGGAGAAGAGCCTCTGGAGGCACCAGTGTTTGAGATACCCCTGCAGAACATGGTGGTGGCGCCGGGAGCTGATGTGTTACTTAAGTGTATCATCACCGCCAACCCCCCACCCCAAGGTGAGCTGCGGGGAGGGCTGGAGGCTGGCAGGTGTGGTGGGGAACCTGTGGTATGGGAGCAGGGTAGGTTTCCCGGAATCCTCTTATGTCAGGGAGGGGAAGAGGAAAACTGTCAGTTCACGGGGCTGCCTGGACTCTGCTGTATTCGGCAAGGTTGTAGGGGTAGGCAGCCTGAGCCTCTGGAGTGAGGGCAGATTCCTCAGAATTCTCCTGAGGGAGGAAAGCTGGAGGTACCCTAGTTGGTAGAGTGCTTGCCAAGCACACGCAAGATTCTAAGTTTGACCTAGAGCCCTGCAAAGGGTGGGGGAGCATCCATAATCCCAGCTACATAGCAAACCTGGACTGCATGGCATCTTATCTCATTTTAAAAGTTAAAAAATATATATTGGCATTGGAAAACATGTCGGGTGGTAGGGTGGTGGGTAGGAATGGAATTCCCCAGCGAACCCTTTGTGGCCATGATGAGCTGGTTCTTCCTCTTCCCCCACAGTGTCCTGGAAAAAGGATGGGTCAACACTGCACAGTGAGGGTCGCCTTCTCATCCGATCCGAAGGCGAGAGGCACACACTGCTGCTTAGGGAGGCCCGGGCTGCTGATGCTGGGAGCTACACAGCCACTGCCACCAACGAACTGGGCCAGGCTAGCTGTGCTTCCACACTGGCCGTAAGACCTGGTAGGGAGTCTTCCAGATTGGGTTCTGGTTGGGGTGAGCTGTGGCACCTCCTGGGGAACGTGAGGATGTGGGGTCAGAGTCTCTGCACTTGTGCCTAAGCACTTGGCTTCCCAGTGTGTGCAATCCTTCCTTACGATGGGTCTGACTCTCTGGAGGAGGCAGCAGAAGTGCTCCTAGTCTCATGACAAGGACACTCTCATCCAGAAAAGTCCATGAAGTTGGTGAAATTCATCCTTGAACGTCCTTTAAATGTTATCTTTCCAAAACGATTCTCTGAATGGGGTCTGTGGAAAGGCCAATAGTCTTTGAGTCTCTAAGAAAAATAATGTCTTAGTTCAAAGGATTTAAAAGGCACCAAATGCTTCTGAGGTTATTTCTTTCCAGGACGAGAAGAAAGCAGAAAGTAAGAAACAAGGGCCCAAGGGCTGTTTCCATTCCTGTTGGATCCCAGGCCCTACAGAGGCTGCAGCTGAGTACCATTCAGAGATGGCCATTCTGAGCCTGCCTGGTCTATTTTTACTTGGTGTCAGGCTACTTCCTTTGGGTTTCAACCGGGTAGCTTTCTGGTTCAGGCAAGACTAGATCAGTGTCTATGTGCATGGAAGTGCTACTCATTAGGTGGTTGGGTCTAACAGTGTGCTGATGGTGGGCAGGAGGAGAGGATGAAGAGGGTGTTAACCAGGAAATGGTACTGGTGAAACCCACAGTGTTACCAATGAGTATCCAAACTAGTTAGGAGGCCAGAGCTCAGAGACCAGTGTTCTGGAATGCTTGCATTGAGACTTCAGGGTCCCGGAGGAGGATGGGAGCCGGCACACCGTGTCTTGTGCCTTTCTTCCATTCAGTGTTGCAGGTACAAGCTCAGAAACCATGCATGCATTGTTTTAGCTTCAACCCTCAATGCATTCCCAATTCAGGAGTTCTTGGTGGGCTCCGGTATCGGCATTTGGGCCGTGTTAGTTCCTTTGGTGGCATGTCCGTCTTGTGGTCTTCTTCCTCCATTCCACATGCCTCCCTGGAGCCGTTCAAGGCTTTCTCCTTTCTCCTCACCTCCCACTATGCTGAATCATGCCCACCCCTCCACTTCATGCCTCCACCCTTCCATCACCTCTGGGATCTGGCTTCTGACTCAGCTCCCAGCTCTCCTAGGAGCCCAGGCCTAGCTCCAGAGCTCCAGTCAATACCTGGCTTGGACTGAGAGCTGGCAAGAGGTGTGGTGTGAGATGCCCCAGTACTGGCTGGTGGCCATCCGGGAGCCTTTTAAGGTTGGGAAAGCAGCTTGGGGCACGGCAGCTGTCAGCACTTGACTGGGAGTTCTGTGTTTGCCACGTTGAGTCTCCTGAGCTTCAGTTCCCTCATTTGTAAACCAGAGATAATTATACCATCCTCACGGATGGAAGCCAGTGTGCGAATGAGCTTTATGAACTGTAAAGCTGTAGACAAATGTTAGTTGTTAGCGTCTGAGGGTGATGTTGTGCACATCAGCCCAGCTTTCCGTGAGGATCTGGAAAGTGCCTTGTCCTTCCCTGCCCCTTTCTTTATGCTGTCTGTGCCTTGGGGACTCCACTCCTGCTTTTCCAAAGTCACTATCATTTAGCCCCTCCCTATTTCCAGCCCCTAGGGGGCCCTCAGCTTGGCACATCTCTATGCTTGCTTCATCCCGAGGACCCAGAAAACTTATGTCATCCTAAGTTATGTCATCAGGTTACACCAAGCATTGCAGCAGCCCCCCTAAGTCAGACTGGCTCCAGGGCCCAAGAGGCTGGCATGCAGGTCCAACCTCAGCACTGATTATGGACCAAGCTGACTTTCTTACCCTACAAGGCACTGTTTGGTCTAGAGTGGCTGGATGGAGGCCAGGGGGCCCAGAGAGTAGCTGGAGCAGGCAGAACCAGCAGTGGCAAAGACATTTGGGAATAGAAGGGGTCTCAGACCAGGCATCTGTAGGTACTGAAGAAGGGGGCTGGGAGAGTGTCTGGCTGTGGGGTACTGGGAGTATGTGGAGGGAAGTGGCACTGTCTTACGGAAAGAGACTTGTGTTGAGCCGCTGCCCTTTCTTACTACCTCCCCACCCTTACACTCAGTGCCATGGAAACCAGGCTGGATGCCCAGTGCACTCCAGGGGTGCCCACCCCATCAGGGCCTGCTTTTAAGACCCACAGATGTCAATTCTTGGTTGGGAACCATAGTAACTAGAATCTAGGCAACTCTAAAATATAACCATGGCCCAGGGAACAGGGACTACTGTGAGGGCTGTCTTGTCTGAGCCCTGAGTCCCTCTCACCCAGTAAATAACTCCCAAACTGAGTATAGATGAGAAAGTCTCTGGAGTGTGAGAATGCCTAACTGAAGTGAAACTTCTGATAGCTGTCACATCTGTCACACAAGACTCTTTTGAGGACCCCCTGGTGCCAGGTGCCCTGCCTCTGAATAGTTGCTTCTATCTGCAGAGTGTCATGTACTTTTTGCAAATCTTTTCATGTGTCTTTCCTCAGGCTATATTGCATCCTGTACGTGTGTGTGTGTGTGTTTGTATAGATGGAGGTGTGTGTATGTATAGATGGAAATGTGTGTGCATGTGTGTGTTATTCCCATCTTACAGATGAAAAAAAAAACAAATCAGTATGATTATATAGAGGTTGAACCAGGCCAGCAGTCTGGGAATCTGCCTAGGAATTTTATTAATAGTATGTGATATAGTAATGGAAATTACTTATCTGAGTAACAAATTAGTGTGTGTCTTGTGTAAAAACAACCACACTCTGGTATTTGCTGAGTGCTTCCTAGGTACTGGGCTCACTGAAGATTACATAGTCACATTTAGCCCAGCTCTGTGAAGTAGGTTTGGTTGTTGTGCCCATATCACTGATGAGGTAACTGAGGCTAGGGGTTAGCAAGGTGCTCCAGCAAAGTGCTGACCCCCGAACCTTGCAAAGCAAGGGAAGTGAACTGGGTCTGAACTGTGCAGTGTGGTATAATATACTAATCTCACATGGCATCCAGCTCTTGAGGTGTGGCTAGTGCAGTTAGGAACAGTTTTTGTATAATGTCATCTTACTTGTTATGCATGTTAATAGTCTTAGCCACTGCTTCTGCCTCTGGAGTTAGGATGCTAAGCCAGGGCAACTGGTGGCTGAATATCCCTAACCATTGCACTGTATGGTCTTCTTTTCTGCTACTCTGAGGAGATTGCAGCTAAGGTATTCCCTGAGCTTGGAGGGAGGTATTGCCCAGGTCTCTATGGTAGTCAGATTTGTGGCTCTGGTCCTGTTGATTCCTGGTGCTCTTGGGTCCTTTCTGCTATGAAGGCTGACAGGAGGCCCTCTAGGGCTGGCCAGGAGGAAGGAGGCTCGGAGTGCTCCATCCTCCATTCTACTGCCTGCACCTCTCATGTATTTGAACCCAAGGTCTAGCATTTCCCAGCCAAGACCTTGGCCTCTTCACTCTTTTTTTTTTTTTAATTTTTATTTATTTATTTATTATGTATACAATGTTCTGTCTGTGTGTATGCCTGCAGGCCAGGAGAGGGCACCAGACCTCATTACAGATGGTTGTGAGCCACCATGTGGTTGCTGGGAATTGAACTCAGGACCTTTGGAAGAGAGGGCAATACTCTTAACCGCTGAGCCATCTCTCCGGCCCCGGCCTCTTCACTTTTTGCCTTAGCTGGCCTCATTTCTGGTTTTGTTGTTGTTGTAAGTGTCTTGTAAGGATGATCTTAATGGATGAGCTATGTACTCAGTAAGACTGGTGAGGTTCTGCGGGGACAGAAAATTGGCCTCCAATATTTGGACCAGGAGACAGCCATCACTGTGACTTATCTTAGTCTTATATTTGAGATCACCACTAACATGTTAAAAAAAAAAAAGAGGCGGGGGCTGGAGAGATGGCTCAGAGGTTAAGAGCATTGCCTGATCTTCCAAAGGTCCTGAGTTCAATTCCCAGCAACCACATGGTGGCTCACAACCATCTGTAATGGGGTCTGGTGCCCTCCTCTGGCTAGCAGGCATATACACAGACAGAATGTTGTATACATAATAAATAAATAAATAAATAAATATTAAAAAAAAAGAGGCTATAGTAAATATGAATACATCATGAATACAAAAGGAACAGGAGAAAACTGTGCCACTAACCTCTACCCTCTTTCCCTGGTCTGGGCCTAAGTGACCATCTGCACAGTGTCAGGCTCTTCCCTAGCAATGACAGTGGCCGCTGATAGATGAGCTCGCTGAATGCCACAGTCCTGTTATCCATTTCACTGGGATCTGGACAGCGCTGGAGAAAGCAGAGTGCCAGACTCAGGCCTCTCTCCCAGCCCCTGCCTGTCAGCATCAGTGGGTACCTGTGGTCTGACTCCCCAAGGCTGTTATTCAGAATGGGGTTTATCTATCACCCACCACCTGTCCCGAGAATGGAGACTAGTTTAGTGCGGATGCAAGCAGCTTAGCTGACCCATCCAGCCCGGTCATATGTGAGAAACTCAGCACGCACCTGGCTGAGTCAGGCTAACCCTGTGAAATTCTCACCAGTGTTTCATACATTTTAAACCAAACCTGAAACACTCTCAGCAGTGTTTCTTCTCGCCCCAGGGAATTCTGGGGAAACGGTCTCACCTGCAAGCCCAGCCCTCATTTCCCCTCACTTGGTCACTGGCCATCACTGTGGCAGCCTTCTCAGTAAGTGCCTAGATAGAATCCCACAAGGCAGTACATACAGAGGGTAGAGGCGAGCCCTGCCCGCATGGAAGAGCTGGTTAATCCCCAAACTACCCTTCTTTCTCCGCAAACTCTATGGAGTTCCTTTTGACCTTCAGGGCAAAGGCCAGTCCTTGAGCAGGCCCCCACTTCCTAGACAAAGAGGTTGCGGGTCCCTTAGGGTGCTGGGAGGTAGCAAGAGATCCCTGCTCTCACACTGTTGCCCCTTTCTTCCTTGCCTTTTCTTTTTTCTCTCACTTGATCTTTTTCTATTTTTTATCTCTCATTTTATTCACCAATTTTGGATCATTTTCCAAGCTAAAGAAAAATGCAACTGAAAAAATTGTTCCACCCGTCTCTGTGTAACAACTCTGGCTGTCCTGAAATTCACTCTGTAGACAAGACTGGCCTCAAATGCCCGGAGAGCCACCTGCCTCTGCCTCCCCAGTGCTGGGAGTGAAGGCGTGCACCACCACACCCATGGCCCCGTCCTTCTTATTTATTTGTTTATTTATTTTTATTTTTATGTGAATTGGTGTTTTGTCATGGGTGCCAGATCTCCTGGAACTGGAGTTTATACAGTTGTGAGCTGCATGTGGGTGCTAGGAATTGAACCCAGGTTCTCTGGAAGAGCAGCCAGTGCTCTTAACCAATGAGCCATCTCTCCCTCCACCCCCACTTTCTTATTTTGCCACCTACCTCTGTTCCCAGACAATTGACAGGCCTCTGAGCCTACACTTTCTACCTTGTGTAGGTTTTAGCTATTTTTTTTTTAATTTCTCTAAAGCAAATATCACTTCTTCCCTCATTCCCAAAGCTATGGCCTTTATTGGGTCCTCCCTTGCCTTTGTTTCCATTCCTGCTCACTGTTCTACTCTGGCCAGTCTTCCTTACCAAAGTCTTCTAGCTACTGTATCTTTCCACATCTTGGTCTTTGCAGCCACTCCTGGAGGCCCTGCTAGACAGATTAGGGGCTATGTGGATTGAAAGGCTGGGGGAAGAAATAAGCATTGTCCAGGAAGTTCAAGCCCTGGATAAAGAACCTATGGAGACTGGGGAGGACACACCGAGTAATAAGACTCCGTCTGAGATGGGAGGTTGGGATGGCATCAGAGACCACAGTGGCATGGTCCTCTGAGTCCTTGGAAACAACAGCATCCCTTGGGAATGTGCTAGATATGCAGACTTGTCCTACCTACCAACCCAAGCCTGTAATCCTAGCTACTGAGGAGGCTGAGATCATAACCTGCTAGGGATACAGAGTGAGTTCAAGGCCGCCCTGGGCGACACAACGAGACCTAGTCTCAAAATAAGCAGTGAAAAGGGGCTCAGTGGAATGCTGGCATAGCACACACAAGGCCCTAAATTCAATTCCCAACACTACAAAACAGATAACCCAGACAGACTGCAGGCTCCAGGACAGACCAAAAATCAGAAACCACAGGGGAGGATCCCAGGGGGCTGTAGTTCCTAGAATTCTCCAGGTGGTTCCAAAGCCCAACAAACTTTGAAAACAAACCAGCCAAGATGGACAGGAGTGGTGGTGCACGCCTTTATTCCTAGCCCTCAGGAGGCAGAGGCAGGTAGATCTCTGAGTTCAAGCTCAGAGTGAGTTCCAGGACAGTCAGGACTGTTACACAGAGAAGCCCTGTCTTGAAAACCAAAACTAAAAACCAAAACAAAGCAAAAAAGAAAAAAGAAAGAAGGAAGGAAAGGAAGTAAAGAAAGAAAGAAAAAGAAAACTAACAATCGCTGGTGTGGATTAAGGACCAGGCTAGCTAGTGCAATTGGAAACACAAGGGCTGTCGAACCAGACTTCTGGGTTTACAGCTATGCTCTGAAGTGGAATGGCCAAGTGTTCTAAGACTCAGCAAAACCACCTCTTTGGGTCCCCATCCCCCACCCCGTTCCATCATGAGGATTTGCCCAGGTCTTTCATGTGCCTAAGAATCCCTAGAGCGCTTTTGAAAAAGAAAGACGGCTTTTGACTTCTCTCTTCAGAAAATCAATTCTGTAGGCTGGATAAGGTTTAAGAATCTGTATTTCAAAATCAGCCCCAAGTGGTGCTGATGTGGGTGGTTTAAGCATCACTCTGACAGTCCTGATGTAAAGGGCCTTGGGTGATGCCATTTGTGTGCCAGATACTGGGTGGAGCAGAAGCTATGTGTGCACTTGGAACCAGCTGCATGCACTGGCCCAAGGAGCTCCTGCTTTGGGGGCTTTGGGGCTGACCTGAAAGCACTGTAGAAAGGGCAGCTATGTGAACAGTCAGCACATGAAGATCTGGGTCAAAGGCTAAGGCGTGGTCCTTTCATGGGAAGGGTCGGGAGAACCAGCTCCCTATTTCCTTGCTGGTGTAAGTGTATCCCCAGCGATAAAATCTGGGTTTGTAAGTAAATGGATCGGGCCTGAAATGATAGGGTCTGGCTTCAAAGGTGATTTTGCTCAGGTGGCAAATGGGAGCTTAGGATCCTCCGTCAACCTCCTCGGTGACACAGTTTGGGCATATGGTGTAGCAGAGACCAATTCCTTTTCGCAGAAAACACTCTTTCTACCCCTCTGGAACCTGATCCTCTCTCCATCCAGCCTGGCTAGCAACCTGACCAAGAGACTTGACCTAGACTTGCTGCTGATTGGCAGGATAACACCTAGGTGCTATTCCCCCGGTGGCCACCAGGGGCCTCTGAGGCACTCACAGACCTTTGTCAATCAGACTTAACTCTTTGCCCCGCCCTCCTTTCCTCAACCTTGGAGCTGCCTCAGCACTGTCCAGCCTGGAGGTGACCCTGGTGCCAGGAATCTAAGCTCCGTGGAAGGAGAGGAGCCCCTTCTTCCCGGGGTTGTGGCTATGATCTCAGTGTCAGCTGGGAGCCACGCCTCCAGTGGCAAATGCCGTTCTGATTTCTCTCTCCTCCCCAACCTTGAGACGGCCAACCTGAAGCTGAAATGGGCCCTCCTCTCGTTCCCCACCCCTCGTCCTCACTGGTAGTGCTGGGAACACAGGTCATAGCTTGGGAATGTGGCCCTGGTTGGAGGGAGGGGATGAGGGAGAAGGACTTGCAGCCACAGCTCAACCTTGTCTGTACCGCTCTTTCCAAGCCCCTTCCCCACTCGCGGGGTGCAAATGGGTGCGGCGAGGACTGACCGTTGATGGGGAGCAGGCCTCACTTTTCTTGTTATGGACCCTGGTGGGCTGATGGGTGAAAGGCAAGTTACCGGCAGGGCCCAGTAGAGCCCATGGTTGAGCGGATGCAGGACTGTGTCCTGAAGCACCTGCTCTCCCAGATTCGCCTAGTGCAGGACCTGGGAGGCAACAGCCACGTGATCTGTTTCCTTAGGTTGACAGGGGACAAATCTGGGAAGGAAGGCCAATGCCCTGCCAGTTCTTTGGTTCTCTGTGTCTGAGAGAGCTGGCTGTGGGGTTTAAGTTCTAGTCATGCAGTCTCATGTCAAGTCTTGTTGGTTTGGGCTAAGCAGGGGGTAGCATAGAGTCATTTACTTTTGGCACTTCTTATGGTGGGTCAGTCAACACTTATGGCCCAGGCAAGGCTACTAAATGCCGCAGTGCGGGGTCATCCTACCTCTATCCCCCCCTGAGGGCTGGGGTCCCCACACCTGGAGTCCAAGCCCTACGGAAGTGCTCAGCTCTTGTCAGTGTCCCAAGCTGTAATGAGAAGAAAGGCAGACGCTGGCTGCTTGGAATGAGCAGTGGCTAAATTCAGCTGGGCTGGACTCCGCCCCTCCCCCTGTTCCTATGCCGCAGCTCCTGGGGCTGCTCCCTGTGGTCTCGGCAGGCACCACCTTCCCAACTAGCGCCTGCCTGCTGCCCAGCCTCTCGCTGGCCACCCCCACCTCCTCCTTCCCCCTCCTAGGCTCTCTTCCCCTCCCCCAGGGCCGGCTCAGTGCGGGGCCTCCACTGGGTCAGCGAGTGAGTGGGGCTGGGCAGGCTGAACGCCTGCTCCCTGGGGAGCTAAGGCCAGTGGGCCGTGGGCAGGAGGGCCTGGTGCCAGGGCAGAAGCTTAAGGAAGGTACAGGCCGGGGTCCGTGTGCAAAGTCTCAGGGTGAGTTTGGGGTGCAGTACTGCTGGGGGCTTGGGGTTGGAGAAACAGGAGGAGGGGCCAGGGGGCTGTGGCAGATTCGTGTCTGTATTTGGCAGTCGGATAAGCGCCAGCTCAGCGAGGCTGGGCCCCTGGCCAGTTGGAGGGGAGAGCTCCAGGGCCCTGGGGACACCCCTCCCCCAAGGCAGATTCAGGTGTCCCCCTCCTCTTTTCCTAGGCTGAATCACCCTTTCCTATGGATGATTCTAACTATGCTTTCCTCTCCCCTGAGAATCTGGGGTTCATGCTGTAGTTATGGGGCCAACAGGTGCCCCTGGGGAAGCTGAGAAGGGAGAGGGGGAAGGGCTGCCTGGACACTGCCACCTCATTGGCCCTGGACAGAGGTCAGGATGGGGCTTGTCTGAGGTGTGTGTTCTTTCTGCGCCAGCTCACCTAAAAAACTAGTGTCCTGGTCCTGCCATTGTGGGGTCCTAGAGATATCTACTACCCCTTTGGAGCTTGTGGATGGTAGTTTTAGGGCCCACTTCATGCTAGTACATAAATTAGCTGCTTCAGTATAATTCAGGGGCTCCCCCAAGGCCATGTCGTGGCCCTTCTACCTGCCAAACCCTTTGCTGCAGGCCACTCTCTGTAGAACATCATCAGAGTTGACAGGGCCGACAGCGGAGGAATCAGACTCAGGGAGAGCATGTATCTGGGCATGGTCATACAGCCAGTGAGCCTCAATAGGAGGTGAGGTCAGGGCTGGGCCTGCAGGAGCTGCCTTGTTTCTCTATAATACGCCCAGCCATCTCTCTCCATCCTTTCTCCCTGATATCATCTATCTCTCCTCCAGGTGGGTCCACATCCCCTTTCAGCAGCCCCATCACCTCTGATGAAGAGTACCTGAGCCCCCCAGAAGAGTTCCCAGAGCCTGAGGAGACCTGGCCCCGAACCCCTACCATGAAGCTCAGTCCTAGCCAGGATGGCGATTCTTCTGACTCCAAGGCACCCCCAACCTTCAAGGTCAGACCCTTGAGGCTGGTATCCAGCCTTCTGTGGACACCCTTCCTTTGTGCACTCCTTATTCTTGAGGCCACACTTAATGGAACCTTGCCCCTTTAACCCTTGTTACCCAGAGACAGTTACAGACTGGTGTGGAAGAGACCTCTGTCCCAGGTCCCCCAGCTCTCAGTAGCCAATGCTATGCTCTATCACCCCTGATGCTTTGGGATTCTCCTTCAGGTCTCACTCATGGACCAATCAGTTAGAGAAGGGCAAGATGTCATTATGAGCATCCGAGTGCAGGGGGAGCCCAAGCCTGTGGTCTCCTGGTAAGTAGCAAACCACTTATGCCACCACCAGAACCGCCCTCCAGGCTAAACCTTAGAGCTGGCTTTGGTACAAGGGGACAGAGCACTAAGGAGCTTCTCTTGGACCTCATCTCAGATATAGCAGGACCCACTCCACACGCCTGCCCATGGCTTCCTCTATGGAGCAGGCATTGGAGCAATGAATGAGTGGCTTCATGTCTGCCCACTTTGGATGAATGGCCAAGACTCCTCTTTGCCGTGTGGAAGGCTGTTTGTCCCCATGCCATCAGCTGAGGCAGGGTGATTTTTGAAGCCAAGCAACCTGTACCCAGCCTGTGGTAGACCTGGTCCTCAAAATTTGTTTCTGAACTGCTGAGTTAAATGTGTTTCTCAGCTGCCCTACCTTGGTGCTTGGAACATTACTTAGCATGTCCTAGTCCCCGCCCCAACACTGGTTTGGGTTATGGTTTTCATTTTTAAGTCTCCGATGTGATTATTACTATTTTTTTAAGGTTGTAAGTTCTTTAGTATCCCTTTTGGGGAGTGGGAATCTATGTTTCTGTTACAAATAAGTGGAAGTAAGATATGGGGACATTTAAGAACTATTTAGAGGTGATGCAGGTTCTAAGATGGGAGAGACCCAAGTGGGTCTAAAAGTACTTGGAGAAGGTAGGAAGGCGGAGCTGGGGTAAACCTAGCTTTGGATCCCAAGGCTGTGTTGATCAGTCAGTGAGGAGGAGAGGGCTTCAGCCAGTGGGGAGGCCCTAGAACCTCCCTCCTTCTGTTACTGTGAATGCAGGTAAGGGTTTCAGGTTCTAAGGCTGTGCTTTTCTCTCTTTGATAGGCTAAGGAATCGCCAGCCTGTGCGCCCAGACCAGCGGCGCTTTGCAGAGGAGGCCGAGGGTGGTCTCTGCCGCTTGCGGATCCTGGCTGCTGAGCGGGGTGACGCTGGCTTCTACACTTGCAAGGCAGTCAATGAGTACGGAGCTCGGCAGTGTGAGGCCCGCCTAGAGGTCCGAGGTGAGAGGCCCATCTACTCCTGAAATCCCTGCCTATCCCAGCCCTTACCCTCCTGACAGCTCACAGCCAACCTCAGTTCCAGGATGTCACACTGAAGGGGCCCCTAGTTCAGCTGCTTGTAATGTAGCTGACTAAATTGAACCCAGAGAAAGGAAGTGACTTTGCCCAAGATCACACGGGAAATGATTCCATACCCAACTGGCTACCCAATTTGCCTTCCCTGTGCTCCGTCATGACAACTCCTCATGGTAGCCAGCAGCCCTGCATCCTGTAGCCAGCCATCCTCTTCCCACACTTCTAAGCTCTTGCTGCCTGCTCTGTGCGGGCCCATTCTTCACTGACCCCCTCGCCCTTCTCTTGTCCCCTGGTTGCCCTCCATATACATACATGTGATTGCTGTGCAGAAACTGTTGTGGTTGGGGTAGCAGTGGGGAGTGGCTGGTGGCTGGACCCGTTCGAAGGGATCATCATGATGGAGGGACATCAGGGGTGCCAGGGTTACAGAGCCCCAAAGTATAGAGAAGGTTCGGCCATGAGAGTTGGGGACATAAGGCAGGGTTTTTAGACAGCTGGCATAATAGGATCTATCCATGCTGCCCTTCAGAGGCTGTTGGACATCCCCTCCCTGTGATATCACAGGGTTAGGAACATCTCCTCAGACCCTTATTCCACCATGGTCCTTTCCTGCCCTCACTGGGCACAGCCCCTTCAAGCCTGGCAAAGGCCAGCTCTATGTGCTTCCCAAGACACTCCTAAGGCCCTGCTGGAGTCCAGACCTACAGTTTTAGTTCCTCTGCCAGGCCTCGCATGCCTTGCTCTCCCTGGTTCCTCTTGTTGCTGTGGTTGCCACCTCTCTGGCAATTCTTCAGTTCCATTCCCTGCCCTCTTCCTTCTCTGGGGTTGAGCTCTACTTCGCTTCTCTGTGTTAACCTGTGTCTCTGTGCTTCTTTCTCTTTGGGCTTCTTTCCAGCAGTCCACAGGCTTTGGGGTGCTCCTAATGGCTATGAGCATCTCCCCCCTTGTTGCTCAAGGTCTCTGTCTGCTGAGGAACCCCAGGGACCAGGCTAGCCACTGGCCCTCCCACCCTAGTGCTGATCTATAGCAAGCTGAAAGTGTCAGTTTTAGAGGCAGCTCCATATCCAGAGGGGCCCTAGCTAGGTCTGCGCGCCTGTGTGCATGTGTGTGTGTGTGTGTGTGTGCGCGCGTGTGTGTGCTGCACTAACCTGCCGCTTGCTGACTGAGGTTTTTGTCTGTACACAGGCGAGTGAGCTCAGGGGGCCACCTGCGCTGCCCCCGCTACCCTCCGAGCTGCGCCCCTGTCTCAGGCACCTCTCGGACCTCGCTGTGTCTCACTGCCTCCTGCCCACAGACCCAGCCGGCTCTCCCTCCGGCCCGGACTTTTCCCTGTTATCCCTGCCTCCCCCTCCCTCCCTAGTCCACGAAGCACCCTGGGGTAGTCCATGGACCCCCGTGGATCCTCCCTCCCTAAGTAGATATGTGGCTGTGCAGGCCAGGAGGCCCCCAGAAGGACTGAGTGCTGGGAAGGGACAACCTTGAGGGGTGCCAAGTTCCCCCAGTCTCCCTATAGGGAGCGTCAAGCGAGTGCATGTGCTGTGCTGCTACAGGCCACTGTCTGTCTATCTGTCTGTCTGTCTGTGTGTCTGTGACAGTCAGGGAAGAATGCCTCTGAGCTGAGGTGGAATAAGACGGAACTAGATGACAATACATGGCATCCATGGGATGGAGGGGCGCAGAGGAGCAGGTACAGTGGCTAAGACGATTACTGGGAAAAGGCAGGGCACTGATGATTTCAGAAATAGACTTTTAATGGCACAACACTTTCTATTCCACAAGAGACCAAAAGCCAGAGGCCTGTGGCTAAGCCCTGGCTGCTGGCAAGCTTAGGATCCAGAGGGCCACCCCTTTTCACAGACACGTCTGACATGCTCTAACTGGGAATGAGAGAGAAAGCCAGGCTGAGCATAGGAGCAGGGGCATAGTGGGGTGGAGACTTGGAAATACTATTTCGTAGCTCAAATAAAGTCCAGTTTGTACCCATCTAGTGTGCCGTGTTTTCTTTACCTCCGCCGCCGTTGCAGCTGCCACCATCCTTTCGGATACCCTCCCTCAACCCCTTTCACCTCTCATCACTTCTCCCTCCTTGGGGCCAACATAGGTTCCCATCTCAGAGCCAGGTCTAGGGGCTCCTTGCTGTCTTGCCTGGGGCGGATGGGCTTTCCCAGTCTCCAGAGGAACCAAATGCATCTCTCTCTCTGTATCTGTCTGTCTCTCTGTGTGTGCGTGTGTGTGCGTCTTCCTTGCCCCGTGTGTCTCTGCTCTGTTTGTGCCCCCTGTGGCTGCCCTCCCCTCAGCACACCCTGAAAGCCGGTCCCTGGCCGTGCTGGCCCCCCTGCAGGACGTGGACGTGGGGGCCGGGGAGATGGCGCTGTTTGAGTGCCTGGTGGCAGGTCCAACCGACGTGGAGGTGGACTGGCTGTGCCGCGGCCGCCTGCTGCAGCCTGCGCTGCTCAAATGCAAGATGCATTTTGATGGCCGCAAATGCAAGCTGCTGCTCACCTCTGTGCATGAAGACGACAGTGGTGTCTACACGTGCAAGCTGAGCACAGCCAAAGGTACCCACTCACTCAGGTGCTAGGGCTGTCGTGGTGCCCAGAGCTGGGGAGGGAACCGGAAGACAGGGTGCGGAACAGATGCCCAGGAAGTGGGGGCAGGAGATGGTATGGGCCACTGGCTCCCCAAACAATGAGCATGTAGATCAGTGGTTCTCAGTTTTCCTAATACTGCGACCTTTTAATACAGTTTTTCATGTTGTGGAGACCACACCCCCCATAGAATTTTTGTTGCTATTTCATAACTGTAATTTTGCTATGGTTATGACTCATAATGTAAATGTCTGACATGCAGGGTATCTGATATGCAACCCCTGTGAAAAGGTAATTGGATGCTGGGGGGTCGCGACCCACAGGTTGAGAACCACTGACTGAGCGCACTATTTGGGACAAAAAGTGATGCTATTCCCGGGCCCAGCAAATCCATTGAGATGTAGCACACAGACCTGACTCGGGCATCTCTATTCTTGCTCTGCATGTTGCCAAGTGCATGTCTTTAGACAAGTCACTTCCTCTGTGTGAGCTGTATTCTATCCATCCATGAAAGGGAAATGGTGCTACCTACCAGGCAGGGGGATTGGCAGGATTGGGGCGATGATGACCCCTGCAGAGAACAAAACCCTGTGCCTGTCATGGATGCCAGCTGTTGTTACTATGGATGGCATCCCTGTCCTGGTCCTGTTCTCTCTGGAGAACAGAGATGAGGGCACCTGCCTCTGGGGCAGGGGGTATAGAGCGGGACCAGGAGGCATCTGCTCTGGGTGTATGACAGGTGTGGGGGCATGAACCGGACACAGGAAAGTCTGGGGGAGGGGCTTCTCTTCAAGAACCTTCTCACTCAGAATCAAGCTATGTTTCATCTTGAGTGGGCAGAGTAAGGTAAGAACTTCATCAGGTCCCGTGCCCCTGTGGTGTCCCCAGTCCCCCTTGGGAGGCTTCTACGCGTCCTTGTTGACCTCCCACCTCCTAAGAAGGCCTGGTCTATGAATCTTCGCCCATGGCCTCAGCCCTCACTTTCAGCTCAGGCTCTTAAGGATGGCGTGAACCTGTAAGATGAGGTGTCTGGGCCTCCACAGACTTCTTTGACCCAGTGCCGCCGCCCACTTCCTCACAGATGAGCTGACCTGCAGTGCCCGGCTGACGGTCCGGCCATCGCTGGCGCCTCTGTTCACCCGGTTGCTGGAAGATGCAGAGGTGCTGGAAGGCCGTGCTGCCCGCTTGGATTGCAAGATCAGCGGCACCCCACCTCCCTCCGTTACCTGGACTCATTTTGGTATGGTCCCCCGCTCTGAATATGTTGAGAAGGCATCAAGGGCTAAGACAGACAGGGCTTGCTGCTATAGGAGATCTGTGTCTGTACCCCCCCCCCCAGGCCACCCTGTGATTGAGAGCGAGAACCTGCGGCTGCGACAGGATGGGGGACTGCATTCACTGCACATTGCCCGGGTGGGAAGTGAAGACGAGGGACTTTATGAAGTCAGTGCCACCAACACGCACGGCCAGGCCCACTGCTCTGCCCAGCTGTATGTGGAGGAACCTCGGACAGCCGCCTCTGGCCCCAGGTACCCCCTAGGCCTCTAGGTGCTGCCTGGAGTGCCTCTGAGGGACCCTCACCCTGAGCCGGAGGTGGGGGGCATAGCTGTGCACATCTGGACAGCCGTGTGGTTCTTACAGCTCAAAGTTGGAGAAGATGCCGTCCATCCCTGAGGAGCCAGAGCACGGGGATCTGGAGAGGCTGTCTATTCCAGACTTCCTGCGGCCACTGCAGGATCTGGAAGTGGGACTAGCTAAAGAGGCCATGCTGGAGTGCCAAGTGACCGGCCTGCCCTATCCTACCATCAGCTGGTTCCACAACGGTCACCGAATTCAAAGCAGTGATGACCGGCGCATGACACAGTGTATGTGACTGGGAAGGGACCCAGCAACCTCTTGGCTTTTTGGATACTTCCCTAGGGACCCCTCATGTCTTCCCTTCTTAATTTGTTTAGAGATGGGAGGGTCTGGGGGAGAGAACCTTTAGGGGCTCTGAGGTCCGTCTGAGCCCACAGTGTCACCCCAAGTGGCTCTGTTCGCACTTACCGGGCAGGCAGTACAGCCTGGGGCTGACCAGCAAGCAGGTTACAAAACCCACAGCGCCTTTCCTCCCTCATTAGCAACTGAGCTGTGAGGAGAATGAAATCAGTGATATATATCACCCAAAGCAGGGCCTGGTAGATAGCAAGCGGTCAGCAAATGATAAATCATATGACAGTTTTTTGTTGCCACCGCTCTCTCTCACTGTTGATAAAGCCGCGCTGCCCAGATGCCTAAGAAATCTCAGTGGAAAGGCTGGGACGCACAGGGTCTGGCTGAAGGGAAGCTGCTGCGGATACAAAGAACAGGATGTTTTGCGTTAGAGTCCTCTTGCCTGGTTGCTTTCCCAAGGGAACACTTGTGTTCTATTGTTGAAGCAACATGAATCTCATGCAAGTTCTTCCTGCCTTCACCCGTGACGGTTTTCTTCTGTAGCTGCAAGGCCCGAAGACAGGACAGGGACAGTCTCACTTTGCTGTAGGCCTGTGAGGCAGGTACTCTTATACCTGTTTACAGATGGGGAAACTGAGGCTTAGAGAGGTACAGACACTTCCTCAAAGGTAAGCAAGGACCTCCTGACCCAAGTTCATCTCTTGAAAAGCCTGCTCTTCACTAGGGGCGTAGCTCAGTAGGTAAAGTGCTTGCCAGCATCCTCGAGCCCTGGTTGTGACCTTTATTACTGCGTAAACTGGGCATGGTGGCATGCCCCTGCAATGCCAGGATTCGAGAGACAGAGATGGGAGAATCAGAAGTTCAAGGTCATTCTCAGCTGCATGGTGATTTCTAGGCTAATTGGAGTACATGAAACCCTGTCAGAGGAAAGGGAGTATGGGAGAGAGAGGAAAGAAGAAAGGAAAGAGAACTAAAGACTGTTGTTAGTCACTCACAGTCGGTTGGTTCTCCAACTCCACCCTCATCTCATCTCTAGTACCACGCCAGCAGCCCTGACAGCCTGACCCTTGCTCCCTCTAGTAGCTGTCATTGCTCAGTCACAGACTCTCCTGTGTCCCCATTTCCTTTGAGGCTCTGGTCGGTGTCTGTCTCAGGATCTGAGCTGACGTCTCTGCTGTGCCCGTATCTGGGGCCACTGGCAGCCTTTGGCTTCTCCTCCCTTGGAAACAGCGCAGGCAGAGATAAATGAGTGGACGGCCGCTGGAAGGGAGATAACTGCTAAAGGAAGACAGGAGTGTTTGGGAACATCCCTGCTGGGAAAGAGAACAGTACAGGCTGCCCCTTCTTCATGTCCTGCCAGAGACAGCCTCCTTATCACTGATGGAGCAGAGTGCAAGGAACGAGCTTTGGAACGAAATGGAACTTAAGTCCAAACCATTCCTTCCTCATCCATTAGCTGGGTGACCTTGGACAAGCCAGTTAATGTCTCTGACCTCGCTGGTAAATGGGGATAATTTTGTAAAACTGTTGAAAGGATTAGGGTTGAGAAAACCAAGTCATGCACCTGGTGTAGGATAGACACAGAGCAGGCAACTCTTATTGTAATTTATACTATGACACATATTTGGCACTTACTGCATGCAGAGTGTTGAGTTCTGGGTGGGACAAGCAGAGCTGGACAGGAGCTGTCACAGATGTAAAAAGGAAAAATCGTCAAAATCATTGGGACCCAGCAATGAGCTTCAAGAGGTCTGGAGACCCAGGGAGGGCATCAGGGTACTGGAAGGAGGGGGAGGGGGTGGGGCCATAGCAGGCTGAGATTCATGGCATGTGCCTGAACTATGTTTTAAAGGAGAAGGGAGCTTTAGATAAGAGTTGAGAGCATTCTGAATGGGAGGAATTTGATGAGCTGAGATTCAGTGGTGGAACTCATGTGGCCTGTTTAGGGACCCAGTCATCCACAAGAGTTGGGAAGGAATAGCCAGGTGGTGAGAAGGGCATTGGGGTCGCTAGGTTTGGCCGATCTCCGGTAGATTTTCCTCAGACTCTGTTGGAGATGAGGCGCAGGCAGTGGTCACTGGGGTGAGAAGAGACTCGGGGAGGGACGTACTAACAAAACTTTGTCACAGCCTTGACTTGGAAGTTACAACCCTTTGGAGGTACAGGAATGAGGGGCTATCACAGGGACAAAGGCAAGCCTTGTGTGACAAGAAGATGCCAAGCGACTAGGCCTGAAATGCTCAAAGAGGAACGAGGACCAGCCTTGGCTACAGGAAATGCATGTCTCGTGATGGCTTCCCTATGCTGTCCCCCTTGCCCTCTCCCTGCAGTAGGAAGCACATGTGTGGTCAAGCTTGATCTCTCATGAGCGGAGTATTCTTCTGACCACCCGTGTGTCACTGTCCCTCCCCCACAGACAGGGATATACATCGCCTAGTGTTCCCAGCTGTGGGGCCTCAGCACGCTGGTGTCTACAAGAGCGTCATCGCCAACAAGCTGGGCAAAGCTGCCTGCTACGCTCACCTCTATGTCACAGGTGAGGCCAAAATCCTCCTTAGTAGTTTTGTCCAATGTGACCTCTGGAACCATCCGAGAGCTAGGCCAGAGGTGGCCGGGGGGGGGGGGCTCTACACTAGCTCCCCCTCCACTCCTGAGGGAGCGGCTGCCATTGCCCCTATGTCTATGGTTGAGCCTCAGCCCCAGCTTCCCGACTAAGGCTGGAGCTCCTGTAGAGATGTTAGTCTCTGAAACACCCCCACACCTTCCACCCGTGGCTTCCAGATGTGGTTCCAGGCCCCCCAGATGGCGCTCCGCAGGTAGTGGCTGTGACAGGAAAGATGGTGACGCTCACGTGGAACCCACCCAGGAGTCTGGACATGGCTATTGGTGGGTCAGGGCCACACAGGGTAGAGGGTAGGGATGAGGCCTGAACAGAGAATGCTCAGGCAAGGCCACTACAAGGTCTGGGCTTTTGAGCCTATGATGGGGTGGCGGGGGAGTGGCTAGTGCACTAGAAGTGGGACCAGGAACATTCTGCTATTTCTTCTCTAGACCCAGATTCCCTGACATACACTGTGCAGCACCAGGTGTTGGGCTCAGACCAGTGGACAGCACTGGTCACGGGCCTGCGGGAGCCTGAGTGGGCAGCCACAGGGCTGAAGAAGGGGCTCCAGCACATCTTCCGGGTCCTCAGCACCAGCGGCAAGAGCAGCAGCAAGCCCTCAGCACCGTCGGAGCCCGTGCAGCTGTTAGAGCATGGTGAGCTGATGCTGTGTGGCCAGGGGAGGGGTCAGTGACCAACTGGGCAGCCACAGCGTGAATGGTGTCGCTTGGGCCAGATCCCATCCCATCAGCGGCAGCAGTGGTCTGGGTACAAGGTGAAAGCTTTGGTGTTGTTAATCCTTCCTGAGCTGCTTCCTGGCTCTGTTCTGCTTCTCTGGGCCTCAACTTCTCCATCTGTACCACTGGAACTTTAGTGGGGTTGGGGGGAAAGTGTAGCAGGTCCCATGGCCCCACTGTCAGCCTGTGTTCTCCTCCCCCAAGGCCCACCCCTGGAAGAGGCTCCATCCGTGCTGGACAAACCAGACATTGTGTATGTGGTAGAGGGCCAGCCTGCTTGTGTCACCGTCACCTTCAACCATGTGGAGGCCCAGGTTGTCTGGCGGAGGTAGGAGTCCTTACTCAACCTGTCCCCGACCTGTGGTAGTCCAGTCCCATCCCCAGCCGGCAAGATCACCCGTCATTTCTTCCTTAGCTGCCGAGGAGCCCTTCTAGAGGCACGCACAGGCGTGTACGAACTGAGGCAGCCAGACGACGACCAGTACTGTCTTCAGATCTGCCGGGTGAGCCGCCGAGACCTAGGGTCCCTCACCTGCACTGCCCGAAACCGCCATGGCACAAAGGCCTGCTCAGTCACCCTGGAGCTGGCAGGTGGGTGACAACTTCTTACTATTCCTCCCTCTCAGGCAGCTGCCATTGCTGGAGACTCAAGTCCATGTCCTTCCTCTCATTCCTGTCCTTCTAGTGACAATACCAGTATTAGTAATAATAAGAGGAATAAACTAATATTTATTGAGCATGCATGATGACATATTCTATAATAACTGCACTCAGGAAGCCAAGGTAGGAAGATTATGAGTTTGAGGTCACCTGGGCCACAAGTGAAGGAGATCTAGTCTTAAAATAAAATAAAATAAAAGTCTTGACTGTAGCTCACTGTAGAGTACTTGCCTAGCACAAGACAAGGTCTGGTCCATTGGCACTGACACACACTCACACATATATACACATGTTATGTGTAATGTTACAGATAGGACTTAGCATCTCATATGAGCCAGGATCAATATGAAGAACTGCACCTATTTAGTGTGCCAGCCTTGTGAGGTGGGGTTAGTTGTCATTCCCATTTCACAGATGAGGAAGCAAGGTCAGAGTGTGAAGTGACCTGGCCCAAGGTCTCAGAGTCTGATAAGCACAGGATCTGGGTTCAAGTTCCCATGTCAGACGGCAAAGCTGTGAGTACCATTAGCTTGTGTGCTAAAGACAGCGAGGGAACAGTGTCTCAGCTGAAACAGGGTGGGAGGAGGAGCTGATAAAGAAGCAAATGCCCTCAAGCAATCCATCACCTGCCACTTGGCTCTGAGGCTCCTGGCTGCACTTCAGCAATGCCAGTTTGACGGTGTCCCTGTCACCTTTAACCATGTGCGGGCCTAGAACCCAAGTCCCTTTCTGTAGTTTCTCCTTTCAAGTCAGGTCTTCTGGAGCTGTAGTGTGCATTTAGTGGCCACTGGTGTGTGTGTGTGTGTGTGTGTGTGTGTGTGTGTGTGTGTGTGTGTTTGCTTGTTAGTCAACTCCAGGATCTATAGCTGCCGCTGAAAACTTCAGATCCACCTAAACTGGATGTTCTTACCTCCTGAGTGGAAACAGTCCCGGCCAAAAGCAAAGAAAGTGACAATTTAGCACGAGCTATGAACAAATGGACACTTTCTGTTGCAGAAGAAAAAAAAAGGTGGTAGCACCTTTAATCCCAGCACTCAGATAGGCCAGTCTCTGTGAGTTCGAGGCCAGCCTGATCTACAGAGCTTGCAAAGCGAGTTCCAAGACATCTGTTACATAGAGAAACGCTGTCTCGAAAAACAAACAAACAAATCATTGAAGTTCACTCAAAACCTCCAGAGTTTCGACCTTGATAGATTGCCTCTCCCCTCAGCAGACAAGGACCAAGGGGAGACAGCTGTGAAGTGGGCACAAGCAGTCACAGGGGCATGCAGACAAGGTGATCCCTCCTGTGCGCACGGGGTTTCCATTCCTGGAGTTTTGCTCCTGCCCGGCTCCCACCCTGCCCTTCCTACTCAAACACCACTCTGTCCCCAGATCGCAGTATCTGCTGGACTTGTCACCCTTCTCAGGTGTAGCCAAATTTAGGGCTCAGAGAGGCCTAGGAGCCTGCATCCTAGCTGTCGTGGATGGTGACTGAGGGAGACTATCTTAATCAGCCATACTCAAAAGGGACCTGGGGCTTATACCAGATTCTCCATTCTGCTTGGCCCTGTTCCACCATCAGCTCTGCAGGCTGGGTAGAAAGGCAGCCCCCTTCCCTTCCTGTCTGCCATGGAACAGCCTCTCCCCCAGACCCAGAATGGCCTCTCCCGTTCTCTGTATAAAGCCAGGCAGGTCCCTGTGGTGGCAGCAATCTATACTCAGCTTGCTTTATTTTTTTCCCCTTGGGGCTTGATTACTCTTACTCTCACTCCTCTTAAAGCTGGGGTCCTGAAGACACGCTCAGAATACAGGGCAAGAAATTCACAGACTTGTCAAGGCACACTGCAAAGTGTATTTAGTTCTACCATGAGAATTAGAGGCTGCCTGGCAGGGAACCATGCGGCCGAGAGTTCACTCCTAGACTGTCCGGTTAATATTTGGACAGGGCCTTTTTGTTCACTTGCTCTCTCCCAGGCATAGAAGGCTTCCTAGACGTTTAAATAAGACTCAGAGAGAAACACTTCAAGATAGAGGCGGTGTGCTTGAGGGGCTTCATTCTAGGTCACAGCCCCAGGTCCTCCTGCAGGGACTAGACTAAGTAGAGTCAGTGAGAGGCCACCAGGTGGGGTGTTGAGAGGAGCAGTCACCCACAGGGGGCAGCACCGAGCCACACTGCACCAGCCTCATGGTTACTGCAGGGAGAGAAGGGTTGGATAGATAGCCAGACTAGAAACATGAAATCCAGATTTCTTCTGTGTGTTAAAATGTCCCAATTTCAAAGCCATCAAATGAATCTTAAGGGTCCCACAAAGCAACTTGTGCCGGTCAGTGACAGTCAATGCTTCTGAGCCTTGGAAAGCAACTTCGTTAGGGTTTACCGAGAGGGCCCCATCAGGAACTCTGGTATCCTCAGGCATGGTGGGGGAAATGGGGGGGAGTGGGGGTGGAGTCTGGGAGGCCGGGGCCTAGTTGCTGATAGGGACAGGGGCTGAGGAGACAGGCACCTGTGAGGATGACACCTGTCCTCTCCTGTCCCCGTGTGTCGCAGAGGCCCCTCGGTTTGAGTCCATCATGGAAGATGTGGAGGTGGGACCTGGAGAAACAGCCCGCTTTGCTGTGGTGGTTGAGGGGAAACCACTGCCAGACATCATGTGGTACAAGGTCAGAGGGTAATGCAGGCTGCAGCAGCTGGCATGGAGCCTGGGGTCTGTACAGTCCTGGGAGGCCTTAGAAGAGAAGTTTCTGGGCAGAGGTGTGGGCAGGAGGAGGTGGGACTCCGGGGACTAACTGAGGAGTTAGGGGCTTTTTTTTTTCTGAGACAGGGTTTCTCTGTGTAGTCCTGGCTGTCCTGGAATTTGCTCTGCAGACCAGGCAGGCCTGGAGCACATAGCGATCTGCCTGCCTCTGCTTCCTGAGTGCTAGGATTAAAGATGTGCACCACCACTGCCTGGCATGGGTTAGGGATTCTTAGCAAGAGATAAGGGAGAAGCTGGTTCTGGCCTTCAGGTCCAAATGAAAGAGACTGTGTGGTATGGAGGAAAAGCTAGCCCCCAGGTAGCAGTAAGGTCAGACCCAGGTGACATGTACCCCTGGCAGGATGAGGTGCTGCTGACCGATAGCAACCACGTGAGCTTCGTGTATGAGGAGAACGAGTGTTCTCTGGTGGTGCTCAGCGCAGGAACCGAGGATGGAGGCGTTTATACCTGCACAGCTCGGAACCTGGCGGGCGAAGTCTCCTGCAAGGCAGAGTTGTCTGTGCATTCAGGTGCTTTAGTATTTGGGGGAGAAGGGGCAGGAAGTACCCTGCCCTTCATTTCTTACACCACATCCTCGTCCCAGCCCGAGTACAGTATTCTATCCTTTGTCTTTTGAATCTGTCCCATGTCTCCCATCTCTGCCCTTGCTTCTATCTGCCCCACTCCCAACATGGGAACATCTAACTATCTCCTCCCCAGCTCAGACAGCTATGGAGGTCGAGGGGGTCGGAGAGGATGAGGAGCACCGAGGTAGAAGGCTTAGCGACTACTACGACATCCACCAAGAGATTGGCAGGTGCGGGACCAGGAAGAGCTGGCATCAAGGACCGAACGGGGCTGCTGGGTCCTGAGGGCCAGAAAAGATGGAAAGTCAGCTCTGTAGTGATGGTGGTGTCCTGTCACCCTCCCTGTGTCCTCCAGGGGTGCCTTCTCCTACCTGCGGCGTGTGGTGGAACGGAGCTCTGGCCTGGAGTTTGCAGCCAAGTTCATCCCTAGCCAGGCTAAGCCCAAGGCATCAGCAAGACGTGAAGCCCGGTTACTGGCCCGACTCCAGCATGACTGTGTGCTCTACTTCCACGAAGCCTTCGAGAGGCGCCGGGGACTTGTCATTGTCACTGAGCTGTATCCTGGGACAAGACAGGGAAAGAGTGTCCTTTGTAAAGGCAAACCGGGAGCATGTTTTGCCCTCTGCAAAGTGGTCCTTTGAGCTCGGGCTATCACTGGGGTGGGATCTGAGCATGCTCAGAGCCCTAGGTTCAGCCGACAGCACTGCATAGAAGAGAATGTAGAGGCACACACCTGGGACCCCAGTACTGGGAGGGAGACCAGAAGCTTATAGTCATGTTCCACATAGCCCAGTTTAGGTTTACATCAACCCCTTAAAAACGGTGAGCCCATGGGCAGTCGGGATGAATGATGAATCTGGAGACGCCTGTGAAAACCATTTCTAGATCCAGTTCATGCCAGGCATAGTGGTATATGCCTTCAATTCCAGCTGTCAGGAGTTATAGACAAGTAGATCTCTTTGAGTTAAAGGCCAGCCTAGTTTACAAAGAATTCCAGGATAGGTTGATCTACATAATGAGATCTTGTCTCAGGAAGAAAAAAAAAAAAGAAGAAAGAAAAGGAAAGAAAGAAAGCCTTAAGTTTACATAGCATTAGTATGTGCTTGACAATGCTCATGGATTTTACACTTAGTATATACTCAGTCCTCACGTATATCTACCCAGTAGAATTTCATCCTTATTTTCTAGCTGATGAAAGAAGAATAGCCGGGCAGTGGTGGAGCACACCCTTAAATCCTAACACTTGGGAGCCGGAGGCAGGTAGATCTCTGAGTTCGAGGCCAGCCTTGTCTACAGAGTGAGTTCCAGAAGAGCCAGGATTATTACACAGGGAAACCCTGCCTCAAAACAAACAAACAAACAAAAAAGAGGCATACAGAGGTTAAATGGTGATTTCTAAGGTCCCGCAGCTAGCAAACGCCATATGTTTTCATCATAGGGTGCAATGCAGTGTATCTGCACATTTGACCGGACCCTGCTCAGGTGAGAGCCCATACCTTGTTTGACTAAGGAGGACTCTTCACAAAGTCACACCTTTCTCTCACTGTACTAAACAAAGGCACATTTTGCTAGCAATGCCCGGCAATTGACTTGACCCTCCTGGAGCAGGGACACTGTGACCTGAACAACAAGCAGCTTCTTAGGCTTCATTGTTTAAGTCCAGACTTCAGCAAAATGGCAAATAATTTCATTACATGGACTCCTGGGTTCCTCTCCAATATAGTTGAGGAGTTCCATCTACAGTCAACAAGATTCTACTGTATCAAATCCTATAAAATGCTCCATAGGCCAGGGGAGGAGCTGTCACCTTCATTCCACTCCATGAGGAAACCTATGCTCAGAAAGGGTAAGGGAGCAGGTCCCCCCATGTGTATAACCTGAGGCCAGGAGTGTCTGGACCTATCTGTGTCAGAGATGCTTTGTGGGGAAGGAGGGCCTGGGCTCAGTGCTGGGCTGCATCAGGTAGTTCGTGCTTGCTGCTTCTCCTTGACCTATGACACAGGTGCACAGAAGAGCTTCTAGAACGCATGGCCAGGAAGCCCACCGTGTGTGAGTCTGAGGTGAGGGCAGTGGGTGGCAGGGGCCGGCCGGGTTGCTCACTAGCCTTCACCTGCGTGAACTCTAAGAATGATGGGTGGGTCCTGTGCGTGCCGTTTGTGCCCACAAGGAAGCCAGGGGTGGTGGAGGAGAACACAGCTACACAGACAGAGGAATTCTCTACCCCGTGAGACAGGACTTGTTAAGTCTTCTGTAAACAACAGCAGACATATTCCAGACCCCAACTCCATCGCTTCCCCGTTTTCTCACATATACAATCTACAAAAGCTTCCTGGATGTTTATCTCACTGTGTGGATGGAGAAGCTTCTATCGCATAGTTCCAATGAGTATAATATAGATCGCTATCTTCTTTAAACGGACCGTGTACAACTTGTGCAGTAGAATATGGTGACCCTGAGGCTCAGCATCCCTCATGCTGTGTGGTGGGCCACAGATGAGCTTTTGTGACCCATCTGAAGGCCACTGCCCAGGCATGCATGGCCTGACCCCTTGCTTCGTCCCTGGGTGATGATCAAACAGAGTGCTTCCCCAGCTCCACTCTGGCCCCCCTGTTTCCACAGGCCCGGGCCTATATGCGTCAAGTGCTGGAAGGGATAGGCTACCTGCACCAGAGCCACGTGCTGCACCTGGATGTCAAGGTGAGGAGGGGTGTGGAGAACAGTCAGGCGGTGGGGCTGTCATGTGGGGTGTTCCTCCCTAATCAGCTCCTATGCTCTGGTTATAGCCGGAGAACCTGCTGGTCTGGGACGGTGCAGGGGGCGAAGAGCAGGTGCGCATCTGTGACTTTGGGAATGCCCAGGAACTCACTCCAGGGGAGCCCCAGTATTGTCAGTATGGCACTCCAGAGTTTGTAGCACCCGAGATTGTCAACCAGAGCCCTGTGTCTGGAGTCACCGACATCTGGTAATGTTGGCATGCTGGCCCTTGCTGGGGACTTGCTCCCTTGCTGGGAAGCACTTCGGGGAATTGGGATTCTGACCGCGGGTAGCACTGCTCCTAAGCTTTCCCCTTCTGCCCACGTGAGCCCCATCTTTTCTCATTCAGGGCTAACCTAGTCCCTCTGGGCTGCAGCTCTGTAGTCCCCAGCTTCCATCTTCCCTGGGGCTGGGCCTCCCCAAGGGAGACTGTGTAAGCTTTTATTGGTCCTCAGACTTCTGGGATTCCTCAAGCAACCCCGCCATGGTCCCTGACTTTGGGTTGAGTTCCTACCTGAAGTCGGTACTCCTGTGCAGTGCTCCCCGGGAGAACCCATCCTTTTCAGAATGGTGGTGGAGAGATCTACTCATTTCTGGCTGGTGTGCACTGGCTTCTCACCCATACTTCTGGTTTCCCACAGGCCTGTGGGTGTCGTTGCCTTCCTCTGGTAAGGACCCCTCTGCAGTCTCCAACTGGTCTCCTGGCTGGCCCACTCCTAACATTTACAGGGCCCACAGCCCACTCCCTTCTCTTCCACACACACGGTTTCTTCCTCACCTGAGGGGTTTCACATGCATGAGGCTGGTTACCCCGGTTGGCATGTCCGAGTTTCCTAAGAGGTGGGCAGACTGGATCCACAGAGGCCAGTGTAGGCTTAGCATCATTTTGGCAGGGAACTTCCTGGTCCTAGGAGGCCCAGAACATGGACTAGAAGGGGTATACATCTCCTCATGGGGAAGCCACACTGGAGGAGGGACGCACAGGCAACCAGCAGCTCCCAAAGCCTCTGTACCTACTGGAGGACCTCAAGTGAGAGCAGGACAAGAATATGAAAACTCTGGCTTCCTGTCCAGATTTGCCCGGCCTCTGATGTCCCCACATCCCTAGGCCTCCAATTGTCCCTGGTCCCTTGCCACAGGCATTGCGCTTCACCTTAACCTCAGCCTCAAGGCCCTGCCAACTCTTACCCTCACCCACTCTGCCCCTGCAGTTTGACGGGCATCTCCCCATTTGTGGGAGAGAACGATCGGACCACTCTGATGAACATCCGCAACTACAACGTGGCCTTTGAGGAGACCACATTCCTGAGTCTGAGCAGGGAGGCGCGGGGCTTTCTCATCAAAGTGCTGGTTCAGGACCGGCTGTGAGTAGAAGACCTCCTAACCGCAGAGACCGGCCCTCAAAGCGGTTACATGCTTCCTCCTCCCAAGCCTCTGCCCTTAGATATGCGACTCCTAGGTCTTTTGCTTTTTTCATTTAGTATTTCTAAGATTTGCTTTTAATTCTCTTTAATTATTTTTGATTTTTCAAGACAGGGTTTCTCTGTGTAGCCCAGGCTGTCCTGGAACTCACTCTGTAGATCAGGCTGATCTCAAACTCACAGAGATCCACCTGCATCTGCCTCTGGGGTACTGGTTAAATTAAAGGTGGGCACCACTACTGCCCAGCTAGTTTGTATTATTTTTAATAATTTACTTAACATTATTTTATGTGCATTGATGTGAAGGTATCAGATCCCCTGAAACTGTAGTTACAGACAGTTGTGAGCTGCCATGTGGGTGCTGGGAATTGAACCTGGGTCCTCTGGAAGAGCAATCAGTGCTCTCAATATCTGAGTCATCTTTCCTGACCCCTCCTCCCATTTTTTAAAAAAATAAGGTGGGTTGGGGTTTTGTGTGTGTGTGTTTCAGAGTTTTCTGAGTAGGATTTAAGAATATGCATTTTTCAGTTGCCGAAACAACTTGAGTTTGTATTAATTACTTGTGAGTATGTATGTACACAAGAGTGTGTTATGTGCATATGAGCGATGGTATCTGTGGAGGCCATCAGACCCCCTGGAGATGGAGTTACAGACAGCTGTAATCTGCCTGATCAGGTCCCTTGGAAGAGCAGCTTGTGCTTCTAACCACTGAGCCATCTATCTACCCCAAATCCCTAGTTCTTTTTTTTTAAATATTTTTTAAATATTTATTATGTATACAATATTTTGTCTGTGTGTGTGTGTATGCCTGCAGGCCAGAAGAGGGCACCAGACCCCATTATAGATGGTTGTGAGCCATCATGTGGTTGCTGGGAATTGAACTCAGGACCTTTGGAAGAGCAGGCAATGCTCTTAACCTCTGAGCCATCTCTCCAGCCCCCAAATCCCTAGTTCTTAAGAGGTCCCATTTTCTCTGAATGAATGAATGAATGAATGCTAAATCATTACTTCTCATCCCTTTCCAGGAGACCTACTGCAGAAGAGACACTGGAACATCCTTGGTTCAAAGTGAGTCTAGTCCTCCCATGTATGCTACAGAGATGGGGGAAAGAAAATGTTACTAATGGCTCCATTTACTGACCATTACATGTGATAACTATGATATACATTTTATATACATGTGACCTATTAGCCTCTCAATTGATCTGTAAAAGATTGTATTATTGCTCCTATTTTTTAATAAAGAAACTGAGGCCCAAGTCAATGATCAAGTTGGAGTAGGTAGACTCTAAGCATAGGCCTGAACCCCTCTTCCTATTTGGGGGATCCACTTCAGGCTTCTTACTGTTGCTCAAGGCCAGTCCTGGTCTATTTTCCTCCCTTTTGTGAGTGCACCTCTGTCCTGAGTAGGTTCCACACACTAGGGGTTGGGTGGCCTGATTCACTTATGATCGTCACCAGGTCAGGGTTCTCGTCATTGTCAAGCCCCAGCGTCCTGGGACTAGGCACTGGTGGGGAGGCAGTCAGCAAGTGAGTCCAGAAAAGGCATCTAAGTAAACTTGCCATTGGATGAGGCCATGTAGCTCAGTGGCAGGCTGCCCGCCTAGCATGTTCAATGCCGCGAGCTTGGTGCCCATCATCCTTCAAAACTAATACTATCACTGAGCACAGTGCTGGGTCAACTGAAGACAAGCCATCTGCCAGCAACCCCTGAAGTTAGAGTTTCCTTCCTCCCACCAGAAACAAGTGACATTGGAGTGAGCCAGGTGGGGAGCCTTGTTAGGCTGGACCACCTGGACTTCAGATGTCTGGGATGCTTGTCATACATAGAGACAGAAAGGGGACTGGGGGCCACCAGGGTACCCATATTCCAGGGAAAGCCACCCTCCCTCAGGTACTCCTTATTTCCTGTCCCTCCTCTGACAAAGAATTTGTCTTAGGTGTGTCTCTGGCCTGACAGAGTCACAGAGACAAGACCCCAGGAACCCATACATCTTGTTCCAAGCCCCACAATGGACTTTGTCTCAGGTCCTCTTTTCTGGGTTTGCAGACACAAGCAAAGGGTGCAGAGGTGAGCACGGACCACCTGAAGCTCTTTCTGTCACGGAGGATGTGGCAGGTGAGTGTGTCTGCCCTTTCCACACTAACTTCCTTCCACATACCCCCCCCATGGTGATCCCCACCTCCCACCTCCCACTCCTACCTGATCTGTCTTCCTGTCCCTAGACTTCCTTCCCCCAGAGCTGAAAAAGGGCCTGGGAGCCATTGCGTCCTCTTGGCCTTTCTGGTCTAACTGTAGTACCTTCTTTGCAGCGCTCCCAGATCAGCTACAAGTGCCATCTGGTGCTACGCCCCATTCCGGAGCTGCTGCGGGCTCCCCCGGAGCGGGTGTGGGTGGCCATGCCTAGAAGACCACCCGCGAGTGGGGGACTCTCATCTTCATCAGACTCGGAAGAGGAAGAATTGGAAGAACTTCCCTCGGTGCCCCGACCCCTGCAGCCCGAGTTCTCAGGTTCTCGGGTGTCCCTCACTGACATCCCCACTGAAGATGAGGCTCTGGGGACCCCGGACGCTGGGGCTGTCACCCCCATGGACTGGCAAGAACAGGGAAGGGCTTCCTCTAAGGACCAGGAGGCCCCCAGCCCTGAGGCACTCCCCTCTCCAGGCCAGGAGCCCCCAGATGGGCCTAGCTCCAGGCGGCCCGAGCTCCGTAGGGGCAGCTCTGCTGAGAGCGCCCTGCCCCGGGTCGGGTCGCGGGAGCCGGGCCGGAGCCTGCACAAGGCGGCTTCTGTGGAGCTGCCTCAGCGTAGGAGCCCCAGCCCGGGTGCCACCCGCCTGACTCGGGGAGGCCTGGGTGAGGGCGAGTACGCCCAGAGGCTGCAGGCCCTGCGTCAACGGTTGTTACGGGGAGGTCCCGAGGATGGCAAGGTCAGCGGCCTCAGGGGTCCCCTGCTGGAGAGCCTAGGGGGCAGAGCACGGGATCCTAGGATGGCGCGGGCTGCCTCCAGCGAGGCTGCACCCCACCACCAGCACCCTCCCGAGTCTCGGGGCCTGCAAAAGAGCAGCAGCTTCTCTCAGGGTGAGGCAGAGCCCCGAGGTCGGCACCGCCGCGCAGGGGCACCCCTTGAAATCCCGGTAGCCAGGCTTGGGGCTCGCAGACTGCAGGAGTCTCCCTCTTTGTCTGCCCTTAGCGAGGCCCAGCCACCCAGCCCTGCAAGGCCCAGCGTCGCCAAACCCAGTATCACCAAGTCCCCGGAACCTCCCGCTGCTGCACCCAGAGACTCTCCCCAGCCCCCTGCACCTCAGCCTGCCCCAGAGAAGGTTCCAGAGCCCAAACCAGAGCCAGCCCGAGCTGCCAAACCAGCACAGCCCACTTTGGCTCTGCAAATGCCAGCGCAGCCTCTCACCCCCTATGCTCAGATCATGCAGTCGCTCCAACTGTCTAGTCCCACCCAGTCCACAGAGGGCTCCGCTGTGCTTCCATCAGAGCCCAAGCCCCATGCGGCTGTGTTTGCCAGGGTGGCCTCCCCACCTCCCGGAGCCTCCAATAAGCGCGTGCCTTCGGTCAGAACTCCCCCAGTGCTGGCCGAGAAAGCTCGAGTCCCCACGGTGCCCCCCAGGCCAGGCAGTAGCCTCGGTAGCAGCATCGAGAACCTGGAATCAGAGGCTGTGTTCGAGGCTAAGTTCAAGCGCAGCCGGGAATCGCCACTGTCACGGGGCCTGCGGCTACTGAGCCGCTCGCGCTCAGAGGAGCGCGGTCCCTTCCGTGGGGCAGAGGACGATGGCATCTACCGTCCCAGCCCGGCGGGAACTCCGCTAGAGCTGGTGCGACGGCCAGAGCGCTCGCGCTCTGTGCAGGACCTCAGGGTAGCGGGGGAGCCGGGTCTCGTACGCCGCCTTTCGCTGTCCCTGTCGCAGAAGCTGAGGAGGACCCCGCCCGGACAACGACACCCAGCCTGGGAGTCCCGCAGTGGAGACGGGGAGAGCTCTGAGGGTGGTAGCTCTGCACGGGGCTCCCCAGTGCTGGCGGTGCGCAGGAGACTCAGCTCCACGCTGGAGCGGCTATCCAGTCGTTTGCAGCGCAGCGGCAGCAGCGAGGACTCCGGGGGCGCCTCGGGTCGCAGCACACCGTTGTTTGGACGGCTGCGCAGGGCTACTTCGGAAGGGGAGAGCCTGCGACGCCTCGGTGTTCCACACAATCAACTGGCCTCTCAGGCTGGTGCCACCACACCTTCCGCTGAGTCTCTGGGCTCAGAGGCCAGCGGCACATCGGGTTCCTCAGGTAAGGAGGGACTAGGTGAGAGGTGGGTGTGGTGTGCTAGAGGTAGTCTGAAAGAAAGGTCGGAAGGGTGGTATTGGCAGAGCTAGAGAGATGAGGAAGGTGGAGAGGGATCAGGAAGAGGAGGACAAGGTGGTTGGATTTTTTTTTTGGGGGGGGGAGTACCTTGAGAGCTCCAGGGACTTGGGTGCTGGCTGTAGTGGCTACGCAAGAGCTCATGAGTCTGGGTCTGTCCAGCTCCAGGGGAGAGCCGAAGCCGGCACCGATGGGGCCTTTCCAGGCTGCGCAAGAACAAGGGCTTATCGCAGCCAAACCTCTCCGCCAGTGTCCAAGAGGACTTAGGTCACCAATATGTGCCCAGTGAATCAGGTAAGAAAGCCTCAGGTTGCTCTCCTGGCTGAGTAAAAGTGGCTCACCAGGAGGAGCTTGGGCAGCCACGGAAGAGGCCTCGAGTTAGGAGAACAACAATGATAATTACAGCAGCAGCTGCCATTAATTAGCAGAGGCAAGTGTCCTATTAAGCATGTCACAAACGCTGTCTTGTTTAACACCACGGCATTCTTTAGAAGGATGATCTTCAGCCTCCTAGTTTGCCGGCGAGGAAGCAGGCTTAGTGAAGTGATGCTGAGTAGCTTGTCCAAGCCTCAGGTCTAACAAAGGGAGCAGTCACAGCCCAGAGCATCTCCAGGTCACTCTATTAAAGTCTTTGTTTGGCTGGCCTTCTGTCACTTGGAAGACCTTGGAAGGTTTCTGCATCTGGGTATCTGGGTGCAGGGTGGGTTTTTTTTTTTTTTTAAGTGAAGAGTTTTATTGAGATAAAGGGGATAATGGGAGGAAGAGAGAAGAGAAAAAGAGGGGGGAGAGAGAGACATAGAGAGACAGAGACCTGCTTGACTCTTCAGAAGAGAGGCAGTTAGAGAACCCTGGGAAGCAGCTCAAAATCCTACTTTGGTGCACCCGGAGCCCCAGAGTGTGCACACTCAAAGACACACTTTGTCTCCCTGCTTGGACTGTGTCCTCAGTTCTCCACAACTCTGAACTCTCCTCCTCACCCACAAAGCACATCTTTAGAGAAAAGTAGTCCCCGGGCTCTTTTTGCTGGAGCAGAGGCCTGCCACAGCCCCTGGTTTATTTCTTCCTCAGGTGTCCTTGGGGCTGCAGGGAGGGAGGTATCCTCCACCTGGTCCACCTGGAAAAGAGGCATTACTCCAGGAGGCCAGGCTGTCTGGCTGTCGGGGTGGTCAGGAGAAAGTCACCAAGCAAGGCTGTGCACGTGATCTTTAGAAGCTGTCCACTCTCTCCTGGCCCAGTTTTGGGTTAAACTGCTCAGAATGGATCTAACCTCCGTTTTGCTTCAGCTGGCCTTGCTTGAGAGGACTGTGCCAAAGCTCTAGTCAGGACTGTGGGGCTGGTATGGTGGGGAGGGAAGACCAGCTGGCTGGAAGAGAGGGGAAAGGAGGGGGTGGAGGAGAGCGTCAGCAGAGAAATGTGGGGTGGCTAATCCCTTCCCACCTGGGGCTCCATTTGCTAGTGCTGCTGGTTTCCTGCTCAGCAGTGCCCTCTGACCTCATCTCCCTGCCGGAAGAAGCCTCTCCCACTCTATCAATTGGGGCTGGTCCCCGGGGGAATGGGCAATGGCAGTAGGACTGGCCAAGCTAGGCCAAGGTCATCTTCCAACGCTCACCCGGCCTGTTTTGTTCGGTCCCTAGTACCCCAACTAGGACTGGGGGTGGCAACTGATGAGGTTATTCCTAGTACACCGGAGGATGAGATTAGGACCCCTCCTCTGGGAACAATAGGGTAGTAAGAAGAGACATACACACTGTTCGTGTGCTCCTGCTGGATTCCAGATCCCTCCTGGTTCTTCAGATCCTGATTTCCCAGGGGCCTTTAGCTCTCCCCAACCCCTCTGGTGAAGGCGATACACTCCACCCCCTGTGACCCAAACCAGATTGGATCTTAAGGAACAATACAGGGATAACAATTTCAAATCATCCTGTCTCTGAGGAACTCCAGTCCCGCAGGACTGGCACAGAGCTCCAAGCCTCTTGCCTTGGGCAAGGTCACCAACCAGTGTCTTTTCTGCTTTGCTCCAATAATCCCTCTTTCCAGGTTCAGCTCCTGGCTTCTCTGTTGGGTATATCAAGGAGATAATAGTAACAACCTCAAGAAGAGCTAATGTCTGGGAGCACTTCCTTCATGCCAGACACTTGCCAGCTCTCCACGAGCCTCCTTTGAGTTTCACAGCAAACCCTCCTTACCCAAGCTAGGTTGGGCACAGTCTCTCAAATTCACAGACATTCTCCAGAAATGGAGCTTTTGAAGGGGCGTGACTCACTTAGGGTCCTGCAGTCTCTATTCTGCTCTCTCAGAAGGTTTTTTTTTTGTTTTGTTTTGTTTTTTGAGACAGGGTTTCTCTGTAGCTTTGGTGCCTGTCCTGGAACTAGCTCTTGTAGACCAGGCTGGTCTCGAACTCTCAGAGATCCGCCTGCCTCTGCCTCCCGAGCACTAGGATTAAAGGCATGCGCCACCACCACCGTCTTCAGATGTTGTTTTTAGGGGCCTGAATTGAGTACACCAAAGTTGAAATGTCAGGAGGCTCCCCTACACCTCAGGGAGGCCTAGAGACACCCTTCCAGGGGCTGCCTATAGGGGGCACTAGCTTCAGGTCTCTCGGAACTGCACAGGTTTTGTTTGTTTTTTGAGACTGGGTCTCTCTGTAGAGCTCTGGCTGTAGTAGAACCATGTAAACCAAGCTGGACTCAAACTCACAGAGATCCTCTTGCCACTGCCTCCCAAGTGCTGGAATTAAAGGGGCATGTGCTACCATGGGCCAATCTTTTCTTTTTAAACATTTACATTTATGTATTGTGTGTGTGTGTGTACATACACATATACATGTACCTGCCATGGCATGCGTGTGGAAGACAGAGAACAACTCTTGGGAGTGTGTTTTTTCCTTCTATCATGTGGCTCTCATGAACTGAAGTCAGATCATGAGCTTGGTGGCAAGAGTCCAAGGCTGCACATTCTGATCACGGATTCTGCATGCAGCCCATGTTAGGTCATGTCACTGCTTCTTCTCCTTTCCCTTCCCACTTGCCCTGCAGTGGCCCAGAGGGAGTTTAAATTACAGAATCTTAACTGTTATCATTTTTCAAAACGTGTTTGTTTTTATTTTAACAAATGCTTGTAGAACACTTAGTGCTGGTCTCGGCTCTAAGTGATTTACAAATGTGAGGTATGGCCCGAGCGTCCTCAGTCATCAGTCAAGGAGAAGGTGCTTCCACTCTTGCAGAGGGCCTGGAGAAGGTGATGCTTACCACAGGAAAATCCTCGAAGGCCCGGCATGAGCTTCTACTCCCCGCATTTAGCTGGGAGGAGGGAACCATTTGCTCTGTTCCCTGCTAGTCCTGTTGCGCCAGGGCTCACATGCATCTGTCCTTCCCTGGGCAGCAAGCAGCCAGGGTCCTGAGCTGTCTCTTTTCCTTCAGATTTCCCCCCAGTCTTCCACATTAAACTCAAGGACCAGGTGCTGCTGGAGGGGGAAGCAGCCACCCTGCTCTGCCTACCGGCAGGCTGCCCAGCACCCCGTATCTCCTGGATGAAAGGTAAGTAATTGCATCTTCCACAGAGAAGGGGAGATGGGTGTGGCGGGTGGTGACAAGTGGTTCCTAGTAAAGGGCATAGGAGAGGCAGGGCCACAGGGAAGCAGAAATGAAGGGCAAGTGAGAGAAACCTGGCTTTCCTCAGCTGCCCCCCCATGCCTTCTTGTCCCCAGATAAGCAGTCCCTGAGGTCAGAGCCCTCAGTGGTCATTGTGTCCTGCAAAGATGGACGGCAGCTGCTGAGCATACCCCGGGCTGGCAAGCGGCATGCTGGGCTCTATGAGTGCTCGGCTACCAATGTCTTGGGCAGCATTACCAGCTCCTGTACTGTGTCTGTGGCCCGTGAGTGAGGGGGGTAGGGCTCATGCAGTAGGGATGAGGAGGTGGGGTAGAGTGTGCTGAGCCCTCCACTGGGGCCTCTCCTTCTCCTTCCAGGCATCCCAGGAAAGCTAGCTCCTCCGGAGGTGCCCCAGACCTACCATGATACAGCGCTGGTGCTGTGGAAGCCAGGAGACAGCCGGGCACCTTGCACATACACTCTGGAGCGGCGGGTAGATGGTGAGGGCAAGGCAGGATGGGGGAAGGAAGGAGGCAGCCGGTGGCAGGCCGGGTGACGGGCGGGGTGCTGCTTGGGAAGGCTAGTTTCTTCTCAGAGAGAGGCCTCTTCTCTGGAGAGCTAGAGTCCCTTCTGTGGCCTTAACCCTCCCTGTGCTGTCCACAGGGGAGTCTGTCTGGCACTCCGTAAGCTCAGGCATCCTCGACTGTTACTACAATGTGACACACCTGCCTGTCGGTGTGACTGTGAGGTTCCGCGTGGCCTGTTCCAACCGTGCTGGGCAGGGGCCCTTCAGCAACCCTTCTGAGAAGGTCCTCATCAGAGGTCCTCAAGGTTGGTGGAAGGTGTAGGGTGGTAGCAGCCCCTCGCCACTCCTTGGAGCATCACAGCTTTCTTTTCAGAACACTCAGGGATGATTTTCTTTGTCTCCTCTTAGATTCTTCGGCTCAGCCAGCTGCTGCTCCCCAAGATGCCCCTGTTACCTCAGGGCCAGCCAGGGCCCCACCTTCTGACTCTCCTACCTCACTAGCCCTCACCCCAGCTCTTGCTCCCCCAGGTCCCCAGGCAGTCACTCTCAGCTCCTCAGTGTCCCCCATGTCCACTAGCCAGGCCTTGTCCTCACTCAAGGCCATGGGTCCACCACCCCCGACCCCTCCACGAAAGCACAGGGGTCTGCTGGCTGCCCAGCAAGCAGAGTCCACCCCACCCAGTATTCAGGTCACCCCAAGTGAACCCAAGTCTTTTGTCCCTGACACTGGAACCCTGACCCCAACCTCTACTCCACAAGGGGTTAAACCAGCGCCTTCCTCATCTTCCTTGTATATGGTGACTTCCTTTGTGTCCGCACCTCCAGCCCCTGAGCCCCCAGCCCCTGAGCCCCCTCCTGAGTCCACCAAGGTGACTGTGCGGAGCCTCAGCCCAGCCAAGGAGGTGGTCAGCTCCTCCACACCTGAGAGCACCACTCTTCGACAGGGCCCCCCTCAGAAACCCTACACCTTCCTAGAGGAGAAGGCCAGGCAAGCAGGATGGGGAAGGGAAGGTGGGAAAGAGGATGGGACACAAGGGACATAAAGTTTAGACAGAGCAGACTGTCATGACTGGGCTTGGAGAAAGATGCTGAGGTGTGGGGTTTTAGAACTGTGGGGTTCAGCTGGGTACCACCCTGAGCTTGAGCCTTGGGCTGAATTTCATCTTCACATCTGTGAGGGGAAGGCACTGCCTTGCCATCAGCACCCCTCTCACAGATGAGAAAACTGAGGTTATGGACTTGTTTATAGGTAGAGAGCCAGTGAGTGCTGGAATCTTTGTTCCTAGCAATGAACTCGGAAGCCCACTGCATTCCTGTTCCCAGGTTCCCTGCTTCCTGTTTTAGTTCTCACAATGATAGCTTCCACCTGAGTCTGTGGCATCCCCCCCCCCCTCCTACACACAGGGGCCGCTTCGGTGTTGTGCGATCCTGCCGGGAGAATGCTACGGGCCGAACGTTCGTTGCCAAGATCGTGCCATACGCAGCAGAGGGCAAACATCGGGTGCTGCAAGAATATGAGGTGCTGCGGACGCTGCACCATGAACGGCTCATGTCCCTGCATGAGGCCTACATCACCCCTCGGTACCTTGTGCTTATTGCTGAGAGCTGTGGCAACCGAGAACTCCTCTGTGGGCTCAGTGACAGGTAGAGCTGGGTGTTCCCGGGGAACAGAATGGGTAGCAAGAGTTGGGGAAGCTGGCCGCCTCTGCCACGCCCTACCCACCCCCTACCCCCACCCCAGATTCCGGTATTCAGAAGATGATGTGGCCACCTACGTGGTGCAGCTGCTACAAGGTCTGGACTACCTCCACGGCCACCATGTGCTACACCTGGACATCAAGCCAGACAATCTGCTGCTGGCCGCTGACAATGCCCTTAAGATTGTGGACTTTGGCAGTGCCCAGCCCTACAACCCTCAGGCCCTGAAGCCCCTTGGCCACCGCACAGGCACTCTGGAGTTCATGGGTGAGAAGACCAGCAGCTGGTCGTGATGGAGGGGGGGGGGACTGCCAAAGGGGTGTGCCAGACTCATCCTCTCACCCACATACGTACCATTCACTGTGAAGCAACTGTTATGTAAATAATGAACAGGGTTTTTTCCATTGATCTTTACAATAGCCTTAGAGTTTGGCATAATAGTGCTTCGTTTTTACAGATGAGGAAAGAGAGGAACCCTGACGTTAAGTATTCGTCCAATTAGACAGTTACAAATAACTTCAATGGGATTCGCAGAAGCTGGAAAGACGAGAGAATCAATTATGACTGTACAGAGCGGGGAGAACCAGCGGTTATTTAGCTACCTGCTAACTGATGCTTATTGTCTCTATTCCTTAGAGCTGCTCTACAAACCACATGTTATAGACGAGACAATGGACAGCTAGGCTGCTTTAGTAAATCGCCCAGGGTCCCATAGTCAAAGGGGGCAGGCTTGGGATTAGAGCCAGCCAGGCTGCTTTCAAAGGCTCTTAAACTTGGTGTTGGCCACAAAGAACTGATCCAAGGCAGCTTGTGAAGTTGCATGTTAGGTCCTCGGGAACCTCTAGTGCCCTAGGTGGCCCACATCTCCTGGTGGACACCCCCACTTTTGTCCTGTCTGCTGACCTATAAGGCCTGCTGCTCTGATTTTACTCATGATGTGGTAACCTGGCCATGGTCCTGCTCCCTGAGGCCCCAGATCCCCCCCCCCCGCTCCGCCCGCCTCTTTCTGTTCCTGTGCCACAGGGAACCTAGATCAGCTTGCCCTCTGTCTCCCGTCAGCTCCTGAGATGGTGAAGGGAGACCCCATTGGCTCTGCCACGGACATCTGGGGAGCGGGTGTGCTCACCTACATCATGTGAGTGGCCTGGCCCCGCTCCGGCTCCCTGCTCTCCTCTGTCCATGATCCTCTCCGTCTGCCTGCTCTAGCTCTCAGCCCCCACTTCTGCCCATCTCCTCCTTCTTGCCCTGTCTCCACACCACCCATCCAGTGCCAAGGTGGGACTGCTCCTGAGTATTGTGCCCCTCCCAGATGCCCTACGCTAATGTCTCTTAGGCTTGACCACTGACCATCATTCTCAGGTAGGGGCAATAAGAGAGGCATCTGAGACTGTGCCAACTCACCTGCCTTCCTCAACAGGCTCAGTGGATACTCCCCATTCTATGAGCCAGACCCCCAGGAAACAGAGGCTCGGATTGTGGGGGGTCGCTTTGATGCCTTCCAGTTGTACCCGAACACATCCCAGAGTGCCACCCTCTTCTTGCGAAAGGTCCTCTCAGTACATCCCTGGTGAGTAGGCTCCCTACCTGCTAATCTTCCAGTGTTATGACCGACCCTGGCTTCATGGGGCCAGACTCCAACTCCTCCATAGAGTGCCGCAGCAATCATGCTTTCTGCCGTTTAAAGCCCAAAACCATCCTGGGAAGGACAGAATCGCTGTCCCTATTCCAGAGACTGGGAAACTAAGCCCAGTATCACACACATGTTGGTGAATCAGGATGGGTAAAGGGCCCGAGGGAGGGCACAGGCTGCCTTCTCCCAGAGCTTCTTTCCTGGTTCATGATCCCTCACTGGCCTGGCAGGAGCCGGCCCTCACTACAGGACTGCTTGGCCCACCCATGGCTGCAAGATGCCTACCTGATGAAGCTGCGCCGCCAGACACTCACCTTCACCACCAACCGGCTCAAGGAATTCTTGGGTGAGCAGCGGCGACGCCGGGCAGAGGCTGCTACCCGTCACAAGGTGCTGCTCCGCTCCTACCCTGGCAGTCCCTAGGTGGCATGGACCACAGCCCGCCACGGGCTTCAACTCGGGTTCCCACTCAACGCTGCCAAGGGACATTCCAGAGCCCATGCTCAGCTGGACAGGCCGGGGGGCTTCAGATACCAGCAGCAGCAGCAACATCTGGCTGGGCTATTACCTCATGGACCTAAGGGGACAAGGCCCCTGGGGCTTCAGCCGGATGTCACCCTGGCTATAAGCAGAGCAGGAGACACACTAGTCAGACCGGGCAAGGGTTAGAAGAGAAAGAGGCAAGAAGGGAGTGGGGAAGTGAGAAGCAGAGGCTGGGGGGAAGGAACTTGAGGAAGGTTCTGGGATGCGGAGGAAGAGGTGGACCTCAGGGAGTGGCTGAAGAGGAAGGAGGATCCAGTGATGTGGAAACAGTGAACTGGGCTGAGTACAGGAGAGAAGGACAGAACATGGCGGCAGTGCCAGGAGCCAGAGCAGAGATAAGTGGAAAGGAGGGCGGAGGGCGGGCTCAGGGGTGGCAGGGCAGGCCAGCAACTGAATCTTCAGAAAGGAAGAAGAAAGGCAATGAGCTGAGGGCCTAAGGCCACTCAAGCTGGTCTCCTGCCCCAGCGGGTGTGGTTCTGGGCCCTCTACACTGGCCCAGGGATGTCCCCGCTGCTTCTCCATGGCCTTTGCCCTTCTTCCTATTTGTATTTATTTATTTATTGCCTTTTATGGAGTTTCCTTTCCATCCAATCCCTATTGCCTATGTTGTCCTGACCGTCCCCTCAGCCGTCCAGCTGTCTGTGCAGCTCTCTGTCTGTCTGTCACAAGGAAAATAAAAACAGCAAACGGCAGGACTTAATGTATGATCTCTGGGTGGGGTGGGAAGGGGAAGACTGGTGGCTCGGAGTGAGTCCTGAGTGCAGTTTAGCCTTCTCTAGGCATTGGCAGTGATTCAGGGGTATAGAGGGTATGCCAGTGAGTACCTTCGGCCCTTACAACCCCTCCCTTGACTCTCGCTCCTTTTTATTTCTAGAAGGGAGACTGTGGTCACCTACTGAGTTTCCATAGCCACCCTCTATCTAGATCCCAGGAACCACCTCCGTTCCTATGTGTCCTCTTTGTAACTTGAAGAATGCTGCGCTCTGGAATGGACCCGTCTTTCCCCAGGACGAGGGCGAGACGGATTTCATCTCAGTAATTGGGTAAAGGAGGCAGTGTGAAGAGCTGTAGAAAGAACTAGGCGGGGCTCCGACCCCAGATTCTTGGGATTAGAACACAGATCCAAGGACATGGAACAGTTGTGAGTGCCCTGGAAAGCCATGTCCTGCATTTCCTAGGGTTGAGGGACACATCAGGTTGGACCTTCTTGTCTCTATGGCAAGTTAGGAGTCTCTTGGACCACGACTGGATACACCCATGCAGCACCCAACAATGGTCCCAAGGTCCCAGAAATGAGCTTTCTAGACCTGAGGTAGAGGAAAGAGGGATCCAGGTTTTCTGTGCTTTACCTTGAAGCTTTACTCTTGGCAAAATGAAAGGAACAAACCTCTAACTATAAACAGAGAACATGGGCACTGGTTTGAGGACCCCTTGACTCCAGCTCCAACAGCCATTCTGACTTCCCAGGACCTCAGGAAAGAGGCGGGGTCCATTGTCACAGAAGAACAAGACGTTAGAACCAGTGGGAAGGGATGAGAGAGACACCGTGCCCGCCTGTCATTCCAGTTATGAAGATACACACTTTGCTTGCCAGGACCTCCCTCCGCATGCAGCAAGTGATTCGTATAAAAAATGAGGTGCCTGAACTCATATCTTGATAAATGGTAAAAATTCCTCTCCCGTCCCCCTTTGATCTGCAGTTCCCTCCCTATCTCCATTGGAAATGGCACGTGAACTGCCTGTTCCGAACCCGGAGGAGCAAAGGTAATTTATGTCAGCAGAGTGGTGTCAAAACCGTTCTGATCAAAAGGTGGCAATGCCCCACACTGAGTACCTACAGTGAGTGGAAACAGTGCTTCTACTTGATGCCCTGCACAGGCTGAACCCCACTCTAGGCCCTGAGAGAGGATCTTTACCATGGGCAGTCCGATGCCCCTCCACACCAGTTTAGGCCCCTAACGGACTTCAGCAGACTTAGGGGTTGGAGAGTCCATCATAGTGCTAACCTTCAAGGATAGTACTGACCAGCCAGACCCTATCCTATCACAAAGAGGGAAGCAAGTAGGGAATGGAGGTGACATTGGGGGGGTCAGGGTGTTGGCTGCTGTTCTCAAACATCTTTCCTGCACCCTGCTGGTTTACTTCATCTAACCACCAGGGGGCATGATGTCAAAAGGACTCTCGGGGGTAAGGGTGGCTATTAGGTCGGGTCATTCTCACTGGTTTTGACAGCCATGTGGTCCTTTCACTACTGGCTATATGGACCAAGAAATTCAAGGCTACCTTGGCTGTATTTAAGGATATTTCCACAAATGCCTGCACCCCTTTAACTTACACTGTCAGGAAAAGGGCACATGACATGTCTGCCTGGGGGTTGAGATGAGTATAAAGCCATGTCTCCTGTTTGCCACATCTGATTCCCCTAGCCCTAAAAAGGGATGGGCCATATCCAGCTGTCCAGCTAGTCAGGTGGTGGTGTAGCCTAGAGCAGCTCATCCCAGGCATCCTAGGGCTAAATAAGGAGCCCACTTGGGCCAGTGGGTGGGGGCTGGGGTTCCTGGGAGGATTGGGGACAACCATGCCAAACAAGGCAAAGAAAGGAACAGTGTATAAAATCAGAGCCTCGTACTGAATACCTACCTGGCCCCCCCCCCCCGCTGTGACATCCAGGGAGGTGGCCTACAAACTACCTAGCTAGCCAACTGGTCCTGAAGTCAGCCTCTGTAGGAGGAGTCCATTCCTGACCGAGGCTTCAGACAGTCTCATCCCAGGTGGGTGTTTTCCTTAAGTAGGCAGTGCGGTGAAAACGCAAAACCTTTGGCACAGCCTGCCCACCCCCCATATTTGTTGTCTACTCTTCAGATGTCCAAAGCAGTTCCTGTGGGGGGGAAACAAAACAAACAACAACAACAACAAAAAAAAACCCAAACAGACAAATCAGCTGCCACACTTCCAGGATATTACTCTGGATATCAATGACCCCCAGGTCCAGAATATCTCCATCTGCATCCAGGCCTCCTACAGGGGTCACAGATGAAGGAGTCCAGAGGAAGGCTGCGAGACCTGCACTGTTGCTATGGTGTGAACCACTAGTCACTGGGCTGGGGGAGAAAGGCTGAGGGCAAGAGAGGACCATTTTTAAAAGTAACAGTGGTCGCCCCTTCCTATCAACCCCAATTTCCAGGTTAGGTATCTAGTGGGCCAAGGAGAAGGGGCCCTTGGAGGCCCCCACCACACAAGGAGGTGGCATGCTGGCAGACTGGGCCGGGAGCAGGCTTCATTGCTATTATGGGAGCTCTGAGGACTGGCCCGGCCTAGGGTGGTGGTAGGGGTGTAGGCTTCAGAAAGAACTGAGGGATAAAGGCCTGCCCAGGGCTCTGGAGCCACTGGAAGGCATAATTCTGGTGAAGGCAGCACAGCCAAGCTGAATTTCAGCTCTCCCGGGTCTGTTCATCTGCTGGAGCAAAGGTGCAAGGAGCTGAGCAATGTAGTGGCCCGGGTGATGCGGGCAAGTCTGCCTACCTGGGTCAGTTTAGCCAACGCCTTCTGCCACTGCTCAGACTCTGCACGCATCCTTGTGGAAGGAACTGGTGCCATAGTCCAAAGCAGCACCACCCTGCGGGCTCTGCAGTAGTAGGGTCCACGCTGGCACGCCTTTGTAGCTGGGTCTAGTCCACACAGAGTGGTGAGGAGCCCAGCCTCTGCACTGCCTGGAGGGCAAGACCGTTGTAACAATTTCCTCTCCTACTTCAGGACCGGACTCCACAGACTGAGAAGTCAGCTATGGGCTCCCACTGTACCATGCTAGGGCCCAAGGTCACAGAGTAAATCAAGATTTAAAATCCAGTTTCTGGCTCCCAACCCAGGGCATGTTCCCCTACTCAAAGCTGTCTCCGAAAAACTGTGAGAGCTCCTTTGATCTTCTACTTGACCCAGAGAAGGAGGGACAGGGCCAAGTCCTGTTTAATAGCTACAGAGATAAAACCTTAGAAGCTAGTCATTTGTCCGATATCATAGTGTGAATTCAAATCCACATTTGGGCCAGATATTAGTTGGAGAGGTGATGCTCTTATCCCACCTTGCTTTTAGGTGGGGTTTCCCCGCCCTTCATCTAGTTCAGGCTAAGATTCAAAAGAGACACGATAACACTAACACACACGCAAAGACACCATAGTAACACTGCCCGCCCAGGTACCGGGCTAGCCTCCTCCGAATGTTAACTGGCTGAAAGACCCAACATCGGTTACGACGGCAGGAAGGGCTGGGATCTCCAGTAAAAGCAGGGCTTTTTCTGGGACTGGTTCTGTTCCCAGAAGCCTTGCAGAAGGATGAGGGTCGCTGGACTGCAAAGAAAAGAGTATTCTAATTAACTAAGTTCACTATGCAGGTAAATTGACCCACAACTCCACTCTCCATCTCTCCACACCTCCCCCAGGTGGGTTGAAACTGGCACCTACACAATCACGTGGACCATTCGCCGGACCACACCTCCTGGCGGTTGCAGCCAGCTCAGGAACCTAGCACTTTTTCTCAGTTGGACTTGGCTTGAAAGGGACTGTCAGACCTTTTGCCATGGCTGCGAGGCCAGGGGCCGGTGGGGCCCAATCCCTCCTCTGTCTTGCTTAATAAAACTGCTTTCTTTCTGACCCTCCGAGTCTTTTTTTCTGTTTTGTGGCATAGCCTTTAATCTCCCAGCACCCGCCGCGAACTTATTCCAAGACCCACAAGCCAAGGTCACAGAATGGGCGTGTCACTAGGACGTTCGGAGAGCGTGCCTGGTTCGGTGCTTCATTTCACAGACAGTAAATCCGGAACAGGACTTCTCTCAGTGTCAAATGTCCCAGAAGGACAAACACGGGAGCTAAGACTCCGCCTTCTCTTCTTTGGCTCAGGCTAAGCACGGCGTCCCCCAGCTGTCGGCGTCCCAGCCCCTGCCCCTTCCAAGGCTGGCCACACCCACTGCTCCTCTAGTCGGGATCCTCCCTAGTTCTCCGCTGTCCCTGAGCTCATACTGTGAAGTCCTAGGTCTCAATATTAGTTCCCATGCCTAACTTTTTTTACCTCCACCTTCACCTCTCTCTCTTCTTATTTACGTCCGCTCCTCGATATCTTGACCAAACTGTATAATAAAGTTGGGAGAGGACTTTTTAAAACTACAACTCCCGGCATCCCCTGTGAAGGCGCTCTCGCGAGTTGTAAGGAGACACGTACGCGGAAGGAGCAAGCAGCAGCAGGCGGCAGAGCTGGCGTAAAGGGAGCTAGTGGTAAAAGGACCTACTTCGTGGAGGGGTGGCGGCCAGGGTAGGGGTAGAGGGCAGACCCTAGACGTAGGGAGGGCTCCGAGGTCCCGTCCTGTTCTCCTCATGTCCTGGATTGTTTTGGTTCCATAACCCTTGGCTACGAGAAACTAACGTCTATTAGACAGACTCAGTTGTGGGGTCCAGAGGGTCAGCAACCAATCCTCGGAATCCAGAGTTTTGGCACCAGTCCTCAGTACGGGCACTGCTGGAGCTTGTAGTGTTTGGCATGTCAGAGACACCTGCCCTTTGACTGAGTTTTAGCACATGCAGCTGTGGGATTCACATTCAGCACCCAGAGCTGTTAGGATCGGTGCTCATCTAATGCAGATTAGTGCTAGTACGCTGCTCGGGGTTCATTCTTAGGATTGAAATGAAATACCCGGGGCTCACGCGAG